ACTATTTTGAAGTATAATATTATTTTTATTATCATTAATTTACCTGGGTACTGGATATTCAACTTTCTTTGCACATTTAGTACACCACATGTATGGTTTAGGACGGTGAGGAGCAGAGCAAGGCAGATCCAGATTTTCCAGCAAGGGAGGAAGAATTTCAAGGCTCAAATATGGTTTTAGAACAAGAAAAGAAGGAGAAAATCAAGCTTATCTCACTAGTTTCTCAAGCATGGCTGGGTTCCCCTTTTTTTTTCCTTCGGGTGGCTGCAGCGGGAAGAAAGAAGAAGAAGAGCAGAATCGGGCAAGGCTGGGAAGAAAAGAAAGAAAGAAAAAGAAAAAGAAAAGAAGTCATCCTTATCCAAAATCTTTCCTTCTTTAAGTCCCTCAACTTTTGAAATATTCACATTAGGCCCCAAAACAATCTTTTCTCACAATCAAGTCCTTAACTTACACTTAAATATTCTCGAAAATTTGGGATATTACATTACCAATCAAAGGAATTTTAAAAATACATATAATAAAAAAAACCTTTTCAAGTGTCATTCTAACACTATCCAGCATATCATGTATTGTGATATTATGTGACATTTTTTATATCATTGTTATTGTTCCATGTTACAATTGTACATTAGGAGCTAACCTTGCTTCTCTGCAAAAAAACATAAAAAAATTATATATATCAATATCTTAGATAATTTTTAAATTTTAAAATCACATCATCTCTTACTCAATGCTTCCTTTGAAGTTAGCTATTTCAACAATATTGTCATCCATATAAATCTTTGTAGATTGAGAGCTTGACAATGAAATTCCTCCTAATACAAAAATGTTTTTTTTTTTAAATCAAGATGCATAATTTTTGAGATTTTTTATTTTAATAAAAAATAAAAAATTATAAATTTCATTATATACTTACCTCTATTGTCCTTAACGATCATAAATGTGAATATAATGACTTCCACATTTGAGTAATTAGAAAATCTAATTTGCTCAAATTGATTTATCATGGAAGACCAAAGTGTTACATTCAAACGGTTTTTCCTTCAATAAAATAGAAACAATATCAAAAAATTATCTATAATTAATTGATCAAGTATTATATTTTATTCAATTAAAGAAAAATGAAATTTAAATAGATTTCATGTAATTATTTAAATATGAATTACCTTTGATCTTCAATATGTAATTCCATGCAAGTAACATTACTACCATTTGCTTGCCTTTCTTGTGGAGTTCCAACACCAACCAAAACTCCAATAACATCTAAATTTGTAATAAAAGCATTTTAAATAAAAATAAATCACATATTCATTTAATAAAATTATATTAAAATTTAAAAAAAAATACCACAAAGGCATTTGTTCCTTTTCTCGAGAAGCTTCTCATAATCCGTGAGTTCAAATACAAATCTCGGAATCTCTGCAACTTCTTCGATTATTTCTTTGACAATAGTATCAAGGTGAAATTAAATCTTGTAGTCGTTATGAGAGACAACACGATAAGTGTCCTTATTCTTTTCAACGGAAAAATTTTTCACATAATAAACATTTCCTTCCACCAACTTATTCTTAAATCGTAGAATATTGGAACTCCAAATGATAACATGAATAAAATTTTTCTGCAAACAAATAATTATTGTTAATAAAATTTGTTAAATACATAAAAGAATAAATGTAATAACTTATAAAATTACCTTCTCATCAGCGAAAACCATTTCAGTAGTCAGATGGTCCCTATCACGTTTTAAACTAAAAAACATCCCACAATCTGCATATTCGTACTTTAATCTTCCAATCTTCTTTATTGGGTGAAAGTTGATCAAGAAATACATATTTCAGATCTCTTGCAATCGATTTACCTCTATATAACAAAACATTTTAAAATTAGAGAGAAAATGTAACACAATTAGAGAAAAAAGAAATTGGTGCTTAAAATCAAATACCTATTCATATTGAGAAAATGCAATCCAAGCAACCATAACCCTAAACACGAAGAATAGAAGGAAAACTGGAGGATGGCCAAATGCCAATCATGAAAACAATTGAAAGGATCAGATTTTTCGTCTTTGGTAAATATGGTTTAGTTGTGGTATTGGTAAATTATTTTTAGTTATTTTTTATTAATAAATTTTTTACTTATCATAACAATCATAATTTATTGCTTATCCTGCAACCATGAATTCTAAAAAAATAATTGTCAAGAATATGTAACAACGTCCCTTTAGGAAGGTCAAAAGGTCTATATAAATTTATTGCTTATCATAACAATCATTTTATTGCTTATCCTGCAGCCATAAATTTTGAAGAAATAATTGTTCATAAAGAAATAATTGTTCAAGAAGATGTAAGAACCTTTAAGCAGGTCAAAAGGTGAATATAAAATGCTTCATAACAATCATTTTATTGCTTATCCTGCAGCCATAAATTTTAAAGAAATAACTCTTTATAAAGAAATAATTGTTCAAGAAGATGTAAGAACGTCCCTTTAAGCAGGTCAAAAGGTGAATATAAAATGCTTACCCTATTTAATGCATAGGGTAGCATTTTATATATATATATATATATAGATATAGATTAGTAATTGAACTTTTTCGAAAAAAAAATTAAACAAAACCACGTTAAAAAGAAAGAACATTAAGAGAATTCAAAAAATATTTAATATTAATCTTCATCTCATAATCCAACTGCATCCTTTCGTTTAAAAAAAAAAATCTCATAATATTAGTTATTTTGCATGTTTTATTTTTATCAATCAAATGTATTTTTTCCTCGAACTAAATATATATTTTAATTTATTAGACTTTTTGACGATCTAAAATTAATAATTTTAATTAATCTTTTACATGTTATTTTACCTTTTTTATAACATGTATTAATGTCACTCATCTTAAGAATGTTTTAGCATCTTCATATTAGTTTTGGTTTTAAGTTATATTAATTATTATTTATAATACATTTTAAAATATAAAATTACTATGCCATTAAAATAATATTTTAAACAAATATTAATTGTAAATTAATGTAAATTACTCAATAAATCCTAATTAAAACTTTCTAACCACTATACATTATGTTTATCCATTCTTTATTATATTCTACTTATCTCTAGTCTTTGAATTATTATTAAAATATCGTCAACTTATCCTAAAAACTTAAATTATAGGAATAGTGGCTTTTCATTTTCAACCATCATTATTACATTTCATTATGGTATTATAATTGTAACAGTGATTATGTTGTTTAATTAATTTCTCAATAAATCTTAATTAAAACTTTCTAACCATTTTATACCCTTTGTTTTTCCCTTCTTTATTGTATTCTATGTATCTCTAGTCTTTAAGTTACTATTAAAATATGAACTTATTCTAAAAAATTAAATTATAGGAATAGTGATTCTTCATTTTCAATCATGATCATTATCATTCATTTTTTCTATTAAAATTTCTTTTAATTCCATTCATTCTTAATTTTAAATAATAGGTGTAATATCCCAAAATTTTGGGGTATTTTAGCATTAAATTGGGGACTTATTTGAGGAAAAATATTGTTTTGGGGTTTAATCATAAAATTTTAAAAAGTTGAGGGGTTAAAAAGAAAGGAAATTAGGATAAGGATCAAACTTAGATATTTTTCTTTTCTTCCTCATTGCCCGCGTGTCTGCTCTGTTCTTCTTCTCGATTCTTCCTCCCGACAAGCCCCCCCCCAAGCCACCGACTTTCTTTCCCCCTTGAAAAGCCGGTGAGATCTTGATGAAATTCCTTCCTTTTCTTGTTAAATCACAAGATTTAGGACCTAGAATCTTCCCTCTCAACCCAGAAAAAATCCCGGTTCTGCTCTGCTCTTCACCCCTACAGCCGGCAAGAGCCCCAGCTACCGCCACCCATTTCCAGCCGGGAACACCGGCCAAGCTTGGGGATTTCTCCCTATTTTCTTGTTCTAGACACCTATTAAACCCAGAATTTTCCAGATCTGGTCTGCTCTTCTTCCCCCGTCCGCGAGCTGCTCTTGTCGGTGGAGAACTTCTCGGTCTTTCTGGTAAGGAAACAACATGAACTTCACCTTTTCAGCCTTAATTTGGCTTGGGTGCACTTTAATCCCTTTTGGTTTCCTTCAATTTTTGGGTAGATTTCCGTGAGTTTCCCTGCAAATCCCGCCGGCCTCCTTCCCAAACTGCAGCTCCGGTTTCCTTGCTTGTAAATTATGGTATGATAGCCACTACTCTAAGACTTAAATTACCCATTTAATTGCTGGGTTTTGTCCATTAGTTGATGCTCTGTGTTGTCCGAATCTGCTGGGATAGGGGATGAATTTGGCAGCCCTTTTAAATGTGTTTTGTGCTTGGTTTATGTAGGAATTTTGTTAATTGGGCTATTGTGATGTTTTGTAGGAGTAATCCCGTGACTTGGCCATTGTTGGCCAAAGCCATGGGTCTCCATTGCTTGTTCGGGAAATTGGAATGAATTTTGGTAGCTTTAAGCTGTATTTTTAAATGTGGTTTAAGTAGAAAATTAGCTTGTTATGATTGTTGTGAGATTTTGGAGAGAAACCCCGTGAAATTAGTTAGTGTTTTGGCCAATTTTGGAAGTGTAGTTACTATTTACGGTACTGTTCACAGGTACTGTTCATAGGCACTGTTCACACACCGAGGGTTAACAATTAATGGGGATTTAAGGGTTTAGTTTTTGATATAAGAATGAATTTGGAGATGTCTGGTTATGTGGAGATTGATAGAAATAGCACTGTGATTAGGGGGTAGTGCTAATGATGATTTTACTGTGAATTTGCGATAGTGCGGTATCAATTGTGGAATATTGTGATTAGGTTTTGATCGTTTTGTCACCGTAGCACTTGGGTTAGCCTTCTGTTCTGTGCGAGTGAGGTAAGTAAATTATGGTAAAGCCCTTTGATTTTAAAGCATATTTCAAACTGTTTTTGAGATGGTGGCAAGGTTTAAATTGATTTTAAATTGATTTTCATCAGCACCTGAGTGTGATTAAATTGAAATGAAAATTTGGATGCTTTTCATGAGAATTTCCTTGTTTTTCTGAAATTGAGCATGATTGAAATGAAAATGAGGATTTTATTGATTTTCTGGAAATGAGCATGATTGAGAAATGAAAATGAGAATTTCATTGTTTTTCTGGAATATAGCATGCCTATTTGGGAATTGACTGAACTGCTTTGATGAATTGAGAATTTTGTAAATGTTGAGTTTTCTGTTAAATTCATGCCTGCATGGAAATTTTTCGGTTTGTTCTGAAATTCGAGATTGATTGTGAAATTCGGGTTTTTTTTGTAAATTCTGCATGGTTTTGTCTCGGATATAGTTATGATTATTGATGATCCTGCTAGTGGAGGTTAAACGCTAGCACATGTCGGCACACGTCGATATGTTATTGATGATCCTACTAGTGGGGGTTAAAAATGGGGGTTAAACGCTAGCACATGTCGGCACTTGTCGATATGTTATTGATGATCCTGTTTCTGTCGCCTGCCAGTGGGTTGTTATAACACTGACCATGACTTATAGATGAGACTACTGAACTGAAATCTGATTTTGCATTAACAGTTTTGTCATGAAACGTTTTGTTATTGAATTGAATCTGATTCTGTATTAACGGTTTTGTCATCGAACGTTTTGCTATTGAACCGAATTTGATTTCCGCATTAACGGTTTATCAATGAAAGTTCTGCTATGCTTACATGGTTTATCTTGCATGCTTAAAAGTTTTACCCAAGGGCTATCCATATTTACTTACTGAGTTATCTCATAATTTTCCTTGTCCACCATTTCAGGAAGCGAAACCGAGGACGGGGAAAACCAAGGGAAGTGACGAGTTAGAAGGCTAGCCATCTTGTGAAGTGAATATAGATTTGAGATGTAGATTGTGATCTTAAGAGTTAGAATGTATGTGGAGATTTTGATATCAGAGCAGACTGTAAAGATTTTATCTTGAGATTTTGTGGTATCAGATTGTGATTTGAATAAGTTCCGAGCCTTGTGCACTTGTGGGACCCGTCTCACAAGTGTACGGCGTCTGCCACGTCCTCGGATTTGGGTTCTGGGGCGTGACAATAGGAATCATGACTTTTTGTTTTCAATCTTCATCATTCACTAAATTTTAATTAAAACTTTCTAACCATTCTATACCTTTTATTTTTTTCGTTCTTTATTGTATCTCTAGTCTTTTGGGTTCTTATTAGAATATGAAACTTATCTTAAAAATAAAGAATTAAAATAAAGTTATAGGCATTTATAAATGGATGAATGCAAATATATATCACCAACGTTTTGTTTGATTCATTTTTCTTCATGGTTGTGCATATATATCAAGGCATATATTTTCACTTTCCTGTTATATTTATATTGACAATGAATATAATATTTTTTATTTTCTATTAAAATTTCTTTTAATTCCATTAGGTTATAGTTTGTATTTTATTTTCTCATTTAACTAATTTTATTAATTAATTAAAATTAAAACGAAGTAAAATATTTTCATTTTCAATTATGATATAGTAATTGTTATCGTGGTTATGTTTTTTTCATTAATTTTTAAATAAATCTTAGTTAAAGCTTTCTAACCATTCTATACATTTTGTTTTTCTTTTATTTATTGTATTATATCTCTAGTTCTTTTTTTTTTGTAAAAATATATATAATAAAAAGCCTTTTCATGTATCATTTTAATAATGTTCAACATATCATGTGTTGTAACATTATGTGTAGCATTTTTCATATTAGTGTTATTATTATGTGCTAAAATTAGTTGTACATTGAGAGTTAATCCTACTTCTCTACAAATAACATTTCAAAATTATATATGTTAACATCTTAAATACTTTTAAATTTATAAAATTACATCATATCTTATTTAATGCTTCATTTCACGGTAGCTATTTTAGTAATATTCTCATCCATATGAATCTTTGTAGATTGAGAGCTCAATAATGAAATTCCTAATAAAAAAATGATTTTTTTAAAATTAAGATACATAATTTTTATTTTTACCAACAAACTATAAACTTTATTATATACTTAGCTCTATTGTCTTTAATGATCATAGAAGTGAAAATAACAACCTCCACATTAGAGTTATTAGAAAATCTAATTTGCTAAAATTGATTCACCATGGAAGACCAAAGTGTTATGCTCAAGTGGTTTACTTCAATAAATATAAAACAATATCAAACAAGTATTTATAATTAATTAATCAAATATCATATTTTATTCAGTTGAAGAGAAATGAAAGTCAAATAAATGTCATGCAATAACTTCAATATGATTTTTCTTTGATCTTCTATATGTAACTCAATGTAGATAACATCACTATCATTTGCTTGCCCTTCTTATAAAGTACTAATTCTCACTAAAACTCAATTAACATTTAAATTTTTAATAAAAGTATTGTCAATAAAAATGAGTCATATATACATGTAATAAAATTATTTAAGATAAAAAAATACCATGAAGGCATTTCTTCTTTTTTTTGAATAGGTTCTCATAATCAATAAGTTCAAATACAAATCCCAGGATTACTGCAATTTTTTCATTCAATTCCTTGACAATAGGATCAAGATGGAATTGGATCATGTAATTGTTATAAGAGACAATATAATAGATGTCCCTATTATTTTCCACAGAAAATTTTTTCACATAATAATCATTTCCTTCAACCAATTTAACCTTAAATTGTAGAGTAATGAAACTCCAAATTAAAGCATAAATAAAATTTTCCTACAAGTAAATAACTATTGTTAATAAAAATCGTTAAATATCTAGAAGATCAAATGTAATAAGTCATAAAATTACATTTTTATCAACCAAAACTATTTCAGTAATCAGATGGTCTCTATCACATTTCAAACTAAAAACATTTTGCAACTACATATTCATATTTTAATCTTCCAATCTTTTTTATCGAGTGAAAGTTGATCAACAAATGCATATTCTATATCCTTTGCAATTGATTTACCCCTAGATTTTTTTTGAAATTTTAGCAGCAAAATATTTCAAAATAAAAGAAATGATGTAACGAGAGTAGGGGAAAAATTGGTGATTAAAAATGTCACGTCCCAGAACCCAAATCCGAGGACGTGGCAGACGCCATGCACTCGTGAGAGGGTCCCCCACAAATGCACAAGGCTCGAAACTTATCCAATTCACATCTGATACCATCAAAATCTGAAGATAAAATTATAAATCTGCTCTGATATCATAAAATCTCCAAATACAGTTTAACTTACAAGATTATGATTTATATCTAAAATCTATGTTCAATTACAATATGGCTAGCCTTCTAATTCGTCACTTCCCGTGGTTTCCCCGTCCTCGGTTTCGCTTCCTAAAATGGTGGACAAGGAAAAACTATGAGATAACTCAGTAAGTAAAATATGGAGTGTCCTTAATTAAACTTATAGCATGCCAACTAGTGTAATCACGAAAACGGATACAGTGTGTGAATGAAATAGACGTCTCCTCTATAGGTCACGGCCAGTGTTATAAACCTCCCACTGACAGGCACACAATTTACTAGTGTATAATCCCACTAGCAGGATAACAGAAACGAACCGGTTCTATCAGTAACATGTCGACATGTGCTAGCGTTTATAAACCTCCCACTAGCGGGCACACGAATAACATGACCATATCGGAGACAAAACATGCAGAAGTTAACAGGAAATTATAATTCACAAATAATTTCCAAATCATCAGGGCAGTTAAGTAAACTCCAAGAAGGCATGCTCAAATCAATAAAAAGCATAAAAACAGCACTTCAAATCAGTCATACTCGTGTAAAATGGGTTTAGTCCTGCCACCACTTCAAAAACAAGTCAAAACATGCTTTTAAAAACTGTACGGGCATTATCATAAATTTACTTACTTCACTCGCATAAAATTGAAGACTCGATCGCGATGCTAAACTAACAGAACGATCAGGAACTTAATTAAAATATTTCAAGAATTAATACCGTACTATTACAAATTCAAACTGAAATCATAATGACTACCCCCTAATCACGATATTATTCCTATCAATCTCCACATGATCACATATCTCCAAATTTGTTTTTATATTACAAACTAAACATTTAAATCCCCGTTAATTGTTAGCCATCAATGCGTGAACAGTGCCTGTAAACAGTATCCGTAAACAGTGCCGGTGAACAGTAATCACGCATGAACAGTACTGCAACTTCCAAAAATTGACCAAAACACTAGCTAATCCACGAGATTTTTTCCAAAAATCACAGCAGCAAATCAAGCTAATTTCTCTACCTAAACCAAGCTTAAAACATGTTTTATGGTACCCAAAATTATCCCATAATTCTAGCACGATCTCGGACAATACGAAGCAACTAAATGGACAATAATTAATTGATAATTTGGACTTAAAAGGGCTGTCCATACCAGAATCCAGCAAGCAAGGCCGGAGCTACAATTTGGGGGAAGGCCGGCGGGAAATTTGGGGAGAAAAATCAAGAAATTCACTGGAAATTGGGAAACCAAGAGAAATTAAGGTAAACCCAAGCCAATTCAAGGAAGAAAAAAATAATTAATGGCTGTTTCTTACCAAAAAAATGCCCAGAAATCACCCACCCACATAGCAGCCGACGGTGAAGACAAAGTAGAGCAGATCTGGAAATTTTCTCTGCAGGGGGAGAAAGTTTCAAGGCTCCAAATCTGGTTTTTGAACAAGAAAAGAAAGGCAAAAATCAAGCTTTCTACCGGTTTTCCTCAAAAATTGTTGCCGGCAGCTTGGGGAGCTTTCGGGAGCTGCAGCGGACGGAAAGAAGAAGGAAAAGAGCAGAATCGGGTGGCTGAAGAAAGAAAGAAAGAAGAAAAGAAATAAGCCATCCTTATCCAAAATTTCCCTCTTTAAGTCCCTCAAGTTTGGACATTTTGGCTATTAAGCCCAAAACAATATTTTCCCACAATTTAGTCCTTAACTTCATGCTAAAATATCACAACATTTCGGGGTATTACAAAAAACAAATACATAATATTAAGAAAAAGAAATCCAAGCAACTATATCCTACAATCAAATTTTGGGTTTAAAAAAATCTTTAGAACAAAACAATAATGGAAAAAGGTAAGGAGTTTAAATAGTTGACACTTAATTCTTCATTTTCTTTTTGTTGGATAATATTTTTTCCATTTTTCTTCCTTTGGTTGCCTCTTCATCTACCACATTTATTCATTAATCAATTAATTTTATCATTTGCATATTTTCATTTATTTGCCTCTTCATCAACCACCTTCATTATCATTTATAAGTTTTCCTTGTTAGTATTTGACCGAAACGGTATAACGTCAGTTTTCGTTTCGGTCAAATTCCGAACATTTTGGTTAAAATCTAGTGTACCGGCCGAAATTTCGGTGTACCGGCCGGTACACCGAAATTCCGACCAGTACACA